GGGGCTTATAAAAACTGCATTTTTTTTATGTAGTTTTCATTAGGACTGTGGAATTCTTCATAAAGAACACACACGCCTACCTTTGACAGATCTACAGGAACATCAAGGTAGTGATCGAGGAAGTTAGCGTTCTGTTCAGGATCTAGAAGCTCCAGTAATGCGGACGATGGATCGCCCTGGTAACCACGACCAATCTTATCCACCTGGTATGACAGGTTGATAAAGACACCCATCAGTATCATTAACTAATGCATGTATGTATGTGTGTTATTAAGCAATTAACATTGAATCATGTTCTGTGGCATGTATCAAAATGCTGAGTAGGCTCAGTTGATTTTGTATCAAGATGGCAAGACAAAATTGGGACTTTGAATGAGGGTTCACTGTTGGGCACGGATGGCAGGAGTTTCAGTCGGACTGCTCAGCTGTCTAGAGTTTCAGTAGAACATGACTAAAGGGACATCTGCATTTAGATTTCTGGGAAAGACATCAGTAAATAGGGACGAAATAGTTGTTGACAGTGCACATGATCGTGATGCTTGTGCTTGTAAGGAAAAACAGAAGAGCACTCTTCCTCAGGTGTCTGACAATGCAGGACGTGATCAGACTGCGAACAGTCTGTCGACAATTACACAGAGAGGGAAATTACACTAGGGCTGTAAATGAATGCACATTTGAGATTTCAGTGGTGCACATACCTACACTGGTCACAGAGATGTGAAAAACTATTTGGTCATCCTTCACCATATTCTTCACTAGTGGGTGAGTGCATGTGTAGCATACACCAGGAGAACAGTGCACGCATTAATGTTTGACCCCTACAGTCAGGGGATCCAGTGGCTCTGTTATGCTGTGGGGCATTACTGGTATGGTTTGCATCTACTTGTCCCCTTAGAAGAAAGGGTCACTGCAAAGTAAACAAATGTTCTGGGTTCAATTCCCACTGTGAGACATCCACCACTGTGTCTCTGAGCAAGACACTTAACCCCTAGTTGCTCCAGAGGCGTGCGACCTCTGACTTGTATAGCAATTGTAAGTCGCTTTGGATAAAAGCGTCAGCTAAATGAATAAATGTAAATGTAATGTAAATGAACTCATCAGACTGAAGTACAAGAGCAGCATCACTATACGGACCTCGTCTATTAGCACCGGGGGTTTCTGTCTTGGTTTTCTTCAGGCACTGGATAATCTTCCCAGGCATTGCTCCAACATACGTCCTCCTGGACAGACACACACACACACACACACACATATAGTTATCAGCCCTGACATTCCATGTCTGTGCATCTCTAATTGTAACTAATCACATTGTATGTGCACTTAATTCTAGTATTACCTATCCTTATCCAGCTTTCCAACCCCAATCAATTCTCTTGACCTTTTTCCCGCCCCTCACCTGCCCAATACCAGAGACAGACCTCTGTACATAATGCATATACTGTCCTAGTTACTCAGTAAAATTGGCAGAATAACTTCCAGACCTGTGTCCTTTAATCTCAGCCACATCAGTCATGCCTCCCACGCTGAACCTGAGTATTGTCTGTTGAGGGCTCTGGCTATGGAGCGGGCGATGGAGGTCTTTCCTACACCTGGAGGACCGTAGAAACAAAGATCTTCCCTGGGTGGAACCACGCAGCTGGCTCACCGCTATGAATTCCTGCACAAAGACAGAGATGAAGTCAGGTTCATTTCTACTAGAAAAGCTCCACAGTTGATCACGTGTGGATAGATGCATGTTCTTTTGTTCGTGTTTGTGTTATGGGCGATATGGCCAAAAATGTTTTCATTCGATATCGATAATTATCTCAATTAAATTATTATTTCTTTCCAGTTTAAAGGCTTAACCAGATGGTTAACAGTGTTTATGATCAGATCTTTTTGCAAAAAATATAATTAGTAAATCTTTTAGCAGTCCCTTTTACTCAACAAAATAAATATCTAAATAGAAAAATTACATGCTAATTTGTTAGTGATTCAAATGAATTTAATCAAACATTTATTGACGATATTCTGAATATTTGTTATTTTGTTACTGTGGAAAATTAGATTACAATAATTATCATTATTGTTTATTGCCCAGCCTAGCCCTTGTGTGTGCATTTGCTGACCAATATGCGTTTCTTAACATCATCCATCCCGTAATGGTCCTCTTCCAGAACATCTTTGGCTCTCTCCAATAATAAGTTCTCTTCACTGTTGGTACCCCAGGGCATGCTAGTCAGCCAGTCCAGGTAGTTACGGGTTACACTGCAACCACAGTTTGTTTGTTTAGGTTTTTGTAATGTAAAAAATGATTGTAGTATCCTCAGTGTGAAAAGTGTTAAAAACTACCAGTGCATATAAAATATCAATTAGCTATACAGATTACCATAAAGCATCCCTGTGGTTTTCTTCTCAACAATGTTCTTTTTCCATTAATTCAAGTTGTTTGCATTCAATGCGTACACACTGGTCTGGCAAACCTGCAGAGTGCATTTCCTACCTCATAAAACATTGAGATATTTTAGATCTTGCTAGCTAAGAGTCTTCTTCACACTACCATTTGCTGGCACATCGCTACACTGTGTGCACAATTATTAAGCAAGTGAGTATTTTGACAATGGGCATTTTTTCATGCATCTTTCCCAACTGCCAGCTGTGTAAAAGTTGAATTCTTATTGGATTTAAGCATATTAAGTGATGTGTATTTGTGTAATGAGGGAGGGTAAATGTAAATGCTCTAGTCTTTTCGACCACTCAAAGTGCTTTTACACTACATCTGCATTCACCATTCACATTCATTCATTGAGCCTAAGTGCTCAAACAGAAACTAACATTCACACACATTCATACACTAGTGGAACAGCCATCAGAGGCAATTCAGGGTTCAGTTTCTTGCCCAAGGACACTTCGACATGCTGGAGGAGCCGGGGATTGAAGCGCCGACCTTGCGATTAACGGGCAACCCTGGCCTAAAGAGATCACACCCTATATTAAGGTGTGCATAATTATTAGGCAGCTTAATTACCTCAGGTAAAATGAGCCAAAAATAGAACTGACATTTAACTGACACTAAAAAGTCAAAAATTGTAAAATTCCTCTTAGTCAGATGCAACACTTGAAATAGCTAAACTTTTGAGGTGTGACCACCGGACAATCAAACCTTTTGTTGCTAATAGTCAACTGGGGCACCATAAGCTCATGGAGAAGAAAAGGCGCAAATTAACTACAAAATATATCCGTTTTTTAGATATTGAGAACTGTATGAGGTCATCAGCAGTCACATGACAAAACAACCTGATGGTGTTTTTATTGTTTCTGGTGATTTTAATCAAACAGACCTCAGAACTTCTTTCCCTAATTTCCACCAGCTTGTCCACATCCCACCAGAGGAACAAACCGCTGGACCACGTCTACACCAATATTCCTGGCAGCTACAAAGCCCTCCCCCATCCCCATTTTGATCTATCAGACCATATTTCTCTGCTTCTTCAGCCCACTTGTTTCTCCTGCTGCATGTATTGTCCCTGTGTTTTCAAATGTTGACTGCAACCACTTTTGTCTCACTTTGTGGACAAGGTTAGAGCTGTCAGGGCAGGCATTGTTCCATCAGCAAACCCCCATATAGTTAAACATCACAGACTTTCAATACTGGACTCCTCTGCTCCGTTACCCTGAATGACATCATTAAATTAGTGGGCATGATGAAACCTTCCAAAAGCCCTGTTGATATTTTACCCACATCTTTGCTTTTAAAATCCATACATCTACTTGGCCCATGTTTGGTTTCAATTTTAAACTTACCTCTTCAGCTGGGCCAGGTCCCCAGCTGTTTTAAGCATGCGGTTGTTCAGCCTCTCTTGAAAAAGAATAATCTTGATGCAGCTTCATTTAGAAACTATAGGCCTATTTCTAAATTGCCTTTTCTTTCGAAAATTCTAGAAAAGGTTGTTGCGAACCAGCTACATAATGTTTTGGATTCCCATAATATTTTTGATAAATTTCAGTCTGGTTTTCGTACAAACCATTCAACTGAGACTGCCCTCCTTAGGGTATCAAATTATTTTGATGGCTGCTGATGGGGGTAAATGTTCTGTGCTGGTCCCATTAGATCTCAGTGCAGCGTTTGATACTGTTGATCACTGCACTCTGATTGATCGACTGAAAGCATCTGTGGGCATTACTGGTTCAGCTCTGAACTCGTTTTCCTCCTATCTCTCTGACAGGAGTTTCTCTGTGTCCATAGGAACATATATGTCAGACTCTGCTCCTTTGTCTTGTGGTGTTCCCCAAGGTTCTGTGCTCGGCCCCCTGCTGTTCAGTCTGTATATGCTTCCTCTTGGAAAGATTATTGGTAGCTTTGAAGACATATCTTATCATTGTTATGCTGATGAGATCCAATTATATTTATCTTTTAGTCCTCATAGGCTAGACAAACTGTCTGTGTTGCACAATTGTTTAGCCTCCATTAACAAATGGATGGCAGACAACTTTTTGCAACTAAACACAGACAAAACTGAGGTGTTGATTTTTGCCCCAGACAACATTACCCCTCAAATTAGGTAGGCCCTTGGGGCTCTATCATCCTCTGACGGTAATGTGTGAAATCTGGGTGTCATTTTTGATAAATCTATGTGTTTTAACAGTCATGTCAAATCTGTGGTTTGTTCCTGTTTTTTCCATCTCAGGAACATTGCTAAGATTAGATCTATGGTTTCTAAAGAAGAGATGGAGATGCTTGTTCATGCTTTTATTTCTTCTAGTCTGGATTATTGCAATGTACTGTACACTTGTCTAAACAAATCCTCCATAGACTGACTGCAAGTTGTGCAGAATGCAGCTGCAAGGCTTTTGTCTAAAACTAACAAGAGATCACACATTACTCCTGTGCTTAAGGCTCTTCATTGGCTTCCGATTGGTACATTTTAAAATTTTAACCATTACTTATAGAGCCTTGCATGGTCTCTTACATCGAGGATCTGTTGCATGCACACATTTCTGGTCGCTCTCTGAGGTCTTCAGGCCAACACCTTTTAACTTTTCCCAGAACACGTTATAAAACAAGAGGTGATCGTGCTTTCTGTGTGGTGGCTCCAAGGCTCTGGAACGCTCTCCCTTTAGCCTTGAGAGCCTTGGATTCTGTGGAAACTTTTAGAAAACACCTTAAGACACATCTTTTTAGACAAGCTTTTAACTAGCTATATAGTTTTGTATTTTAAGTGTTGTTTTTGTTGTTATTTTTTATTTTATTCTATTGAAGGGTGCTATATAAATAAAGTTTACTTACTTACTTACACACAGCTGATGAAAAGGGTCAAGCCAACAATTAAAACAGTCAAAGTGTGGACAGATGGCTACAGCAGCTCTACAGGACTATTTTCAGAGCACAGATTGGAGATCGCCACCCAGGAGAGCCTTGAGGAATATACATCATCAGTGACATCTTACATCAGCAGATGTGTTGATGATGTGGTGATCACTAAAATGATAAAATCATTCCCCAATCAGAAGGCCTGGATGAATGGAGAGGTGGGGCTCTATCCAGAGCCAAAAAAGCTGCTTTTCGGTCGGGTGATGAAGAAGCTTACAGCACCGCCAGCGTGAGACTGAAAGCTGGCATCAAGGAGGCGAAGCGGAAACATCAGCAGAGAGAGAGACCTCAACACCAGCAACCCCAAAGATATGTGGCAGGCCATCAAAAACATCACAGGGTACAAAAGCAGGAGCTCCCCCATCATATGTGAGGCCACATTACCTGATGAACTTAACACCTTTTATGCTAGTTTTGATCTCCTCAACAAGGAGTCAGCTGTAAAGTCTACTCCACCTCCAGAGGACCGGCCCCTGTCAGTATCCACAGCAGATGTGAGGAGAGTCCTGCTGAGAGGGAATATGAGGCCTGGCCATGTACTAAAAACCTGTGCCAATCAACTAGTTGATGTTATTACTGACATTTTCCACATATCAATGTCTCAGGAGAAGGTTCCCACCTGCTTCAAGACAGCCACCATCATACCTGTACCAAAAAAGTCTGCAGTGTCTAGTCTGAACGACTAGTGCCCTGTGGCACGCACTCTGTTGTGAAGTTTGTGGATGACACCACCATCATTGGCCGGATTTCAAACAAGATGAGACTTCATATCGGAAGGAAATTGATAATCGTACAAAGTGGTCCTCAGAGAACAACCTATTACTACTACGAGACTCTGCCCTGTCCACTCTCGCTCAGCTTTCAGACCGGAGTCTGAAGGGAAATGCTAGCTAACCGCTTTCAATTTCCAGCTGTTGGGGAAACAATGAACAGACATCTGTTGACATCTGTTTTACTAACAGACACACTGTAAACTAGTACATTTACTACCAGACTGACAACTTACTGGCTTTCACCATCACCTTCTACCACTCCCTCTCACATATTTGCTTGCCCACTCACTCGCTACGCACACACATTGCACTGCCTTTAAAAGACCTAACTCCTCTGCTCTTCTAACAGCACCTTTTACACATAGATGTCCTTTGATGAATGCAAAGAAGAAAGCAAGCAAAGCATTGAGTGTTACCATGCTTGTACAGTGTGTGGGTGAAAATTATTAATACCGCATTGATATTAATAATTGTGTGAAATTATAGTAGTAAATATGCTAGCGAAGATGCACCGAATATAGCGGAACCATGTCTCTGCTATGTGCAACTCAATATCTCAATATCAAAATCAATAGCAAAAATGGCATGTTCCCACCATCTGTCAACCACTGGAATAGTGTAAAACTATTGATGGGAATCAGAAATAGGGACAACTGTATGCTTCGAGAGATACAAACAAAATGACGACCCACTAGTAAAAAAAAAAAAAGTACTACTAAAAAAAAGCCTTTAAAAAACTCTACTAGGTATTTTTAATTATGGACAGTTAGGTCAATTACCCAGAACATACAAGAGTTTAACTTGAACAGAAGGACATGAATAGGAGTGACTAGGCTGCTTAAAGAAGTTTTGCCCTAGTCAGCACTTCTTTACTAGATATCAATCTGTCGCTATCAACAGGCTATGTACCACAGTACTTTAAAGTACTCTGTTAAAACTCTTCTTAAAAAGCCCAACCTTCATCCAGGGGTTTTAGCAAACTATAGACCTGTATCTAACCTTCCATTTCTCTCTAAGATCATCGAGAAAGCAGTTGCTAAACAGCTGTGTGACTTTCTAGTGCTGGAATTCTCCTATAGGCCTGTTAGGCTACATTCCATTTTTGGATTGGCAAAATTTATTCA